CATTCTAGCAGATTTCCGCAGTGAAACCAAAGAGTACTGGATACACATTGGAGGAAGACACTCAGTTACCTACTGAGACGGTTTTTCTTTCCACAGCGCCTTTGTCATGGAGTGTCAGAGGCAGAGGTTACAGTTTGAGGGTGTTTTCTTGGGTGTAGCAGTGGAGTTATTGTTGTGTTATACACTGGTTACAGCTTGGCAATCTGCACAAATTGCCTCCCTTTTGGGGGTGGTGACAGTCCTAGATGTTTAGATGTGTAACTCAAGTGAAATGTGCGTGAAAAATGGTCCAACCACAACCTAAAAGTCTGAATAAGGGAAGATGACTTTATTTCCTCAGAACATACCAAGCCCACCCACATTTTCTCTCAAAGACAATTTAGGTGTTTCTTATATTCAACCATACTACTCACCAACCTCTTTGCCTTCATCACTATCAGGAGTACCATTAATTAGTAAGCCCCAAGGAATTCTCCACAGTTCTGGAAGTTTCTGTTGCCCAGCCCAGTATTTAAATTAACATACAGATTTAATTATACATTTTTATGCGCTTCCAATACTCATTGGCTTCTAGGTAAATGTGTTTCTGATTTAATACTAATTATATCATGCATATTCAAGTTATTCCACATTCTTTATGCGTAATCTAGAGCTGATAATTAATGTTATGATCATTATAGAGGATGATACTCAATTATAACATACCTCATATAATTATATACCTATGATTCAGCTCTTTCATTTGTTATTATTTTCTTATTAATTTATGTTACAATGATTAGTTAAAATCTTTCATTAATGTTTTTCTATTATTCTCCGTAATAATTATTAATAATACATAACAACTTTTATCCAAATTAATATACTACAATATTATTGATTGATAATGTTATTTTAATTTATTATTTCGTACAATAAAAGAAGTATGAATATTATTAAATAATTATAACTACATGGGAAATATCAGGTATTGTGTTATTACCTCTGTGGTTGACATCTAAAAGGAAGATTAATATTATACTACGTGAGTATTGAACTCATACTGATAAATCTGTGCTCTAATCCCATGTAATCAATGTATATTTAAATTCATCCAAATGATTATTGAACTCAAACTAATAAAGCTGTGCTCTAATCACGCATAATTAATGTATCTTTAAATTAAACCCAATGATTATTGAACTTAACTTTGATAAGCTTTGCTCTATGGCCTGCAGTAAGAGTATTGTGAAACTCATTCAGCACCAGTTCCATATGGTCTTTTGAAACTAGCACCAACACACAATGAGTTGCGGTTCAATGGTACAGCAGGCTGTCCAAAAGAAAAAACTTACCCACTTTGAAATGTGAAAAATTCCATGGTTCTTGCAGTTGGCCAACAAGGTCTGGCTGCGCATGTTTCAATTCAAGGATATCTGTCAAAGCTTCTGTGTTTGGATTGCTTACATAGCTACTCTCAAATGAAGTCCAAAACTCTTCTGCCAGCCCACTGATGCTCACTGCCATAATTGGGACTTCTCTAGGCACATCCTCTTCATCAGCCTCCGGGTTCTCCAAGTTGTTTGGTAAGGCCCATCTAGACAACCCATCCACATTCTTATGGACTATTTTGTCACAATGCACAATTGTCATGGAACCTCTCCACCCCTGGATGGCAATCTGCCACCTCATCATATGTTGACTTGGTTTCTTCATGTTCAATGGTGATTTCAATGCTATACAATCAGTGATCACGTTGAAGACACACCAATCTAGATAATAATACAGTTTCTCAAGATCCCACACTAGACACAAACATTCTAGCTGCGACATCCCATATTTGTGTTCCAAATCTTTCAATTGCCTTGATATGAAACATATAGAACCCTCTCGTGCCAAATCTCCTACCATTTGAATCTGATAAAGAGCCGCTCCAATCCCTTCCATACAAGCATCAACATACACTGCAGAAAATTTTTTTTCTCAACTGCCTGCAGTTGAAATGCAGCATGCTCCAGCCAAGCTGACATCCA